GCAAAACCCACCACACCAGAGCAGGAATCTACAAAATCCCTCACTGTTATCTTGTTCCCCAAATACTATCTCTATGTGCTGTAAAATGCTATTAACTATGCTGTACCCACCAATGTAAAAGAAGTGTGTGTCTCTTTTTATCCAATTGCAGAGATTCCGCCACTTGCTTTCTCCACCACTTAATCTACAATCAATGGATTTCATGTAACCCTCCTCCTCTGATTCTAATGTATAAAATAAGTTGCAAAACGGCCATTTTCTGGAGCATTTTCTCAATCTGTTGAGACTTTGATTTCTGGCAATTGTCGCCAGTTTGCCTCAAATAAACTCTTGTAAAATTTCTCTTAGGCTGGATATTTTTTTTGTTGACATTACAAAGGAAGGAAGGAAGGAAGGAAGGAAGGAAGGGAAGGAGGGGATAGAATAGACAAATCTCAATAACTTTAAAAACAAGATTTTCCCAAAATATTAGAGATTACTTGATTAAAAATTATACGTAGAAATTTTCACTCAAATTTGAACAAATTCATTAGAATATATCATTACTGGAATGCCACTTTACATATTTATAAAACCCATGTGATAAACCCTGTCTAGCAAACATAGAGATCAGAACTCAAAAATCTCCAAATTCCCTGTCTGCTAGAACAAAAGCATTTGGCTTGGGATTCACCAAAAATATTTGCCCAGGCAAGATATTGATTCAAACAGGCAACTTAAGAAACCAGGCTCTTCAGAAGGTCTCATATTTTGCTTTTCTGCTGGTGAAGTTGGCAGAAAAACAAGAAGATTTTTCAGTAGCTTCAAGTTTGAGAGTCTGAAGCATCAATGCTGCCAGTGGCAGTAGCAACTGTAAGAAAGTCAAGTGCCTGCCACTTATTGCTTGGCAGCTGCAGTGGCAACATTTTGCTTCTTTAGGCCAGATTGTGGTTGGAGTATTGGGCATTTCTCCTGGAAACTTGGCCTCTAACCTTTGAATCTATTCTTCTCAATGATTGTCTGAGCCATTTAATATCCTTTATTAAAGGCCTTTTCTGTTTAAACTAGCCAGAGTAGATTTTCATTAGCAACTGAGACAAACAGAAAAACAAAATATGTTCCCCAAAGAGAAGTGTTGCAGGAAAGTCTTTTCAGGGTAATGGGAACACAGAACCAGTAACGGGCCTAGCTTTGTTTCACTGTGGCAGGATTCTATTTACTATGGGGTGGCAATCTGACAATACCTGGCAGAGAGTGGCATATGTCTCATGACCTGTGGCCACCACAAAAAAAGTTAATTCTTGAAGACACTATTTTTAGTGACCAAATCCCACTTGTTTTATGCTATAAACCTATGAGAAATACAAGAAATATGGGAAGGACTGGCTGTGCCTAACTGCACTGCAGAATTTAAAGAAAGCAAATAAGCAGCTCAAAGTTGAATTCTCAGTTCAAGTCATAGTGAGATGATCGAGTCTCCATTTTATAGATATTTCATATCCTCTTACAGTAAAAAGAGTGACAGCACCAGACATCAATATCCAAGTCTTATTACACAGAATTCCTGAATTACAAAGATGTTTAAATTTACCGCCTCACCTTCTGAGAAAATGAACACTGGGAAAAAAGTGAAATCCTAAGCACTGGAATGTGGGTTTGTGGGAGAATTCAGATGCCTCAAAATATTCTCAATTTCTAAAACTTACTGAGTCTTTCATGCTACCAGATTCAGCAATTCCATATCTGAATGAGGAAGCTGTTCCTTCATGTCTTTAATACCATGTCCATACCTTATCTAAAACCCTGAACAGATAGAAGGAAGTAATATTCTTCCCTACCAAAGCTATTTACTCCATCTGAACTCAAGATCACAACAGCCTCTTAGGAGCCAATTATCTGGTCAATACTGGGGACCGGAAGCTCTTGAACATGAGACTCACAAAATTCTATACTTAAATTTGTGGAAGCATTGGAAATAAGTGTGAAAATGGATTTTATGTGTTCCTTACATAGGTGCGAGAAATAATTTAATTCAAGTTGGTATAAACGCATGATTAGAGATTCTGGATTCAATGAGCTTCCCCAGGTAGCTGGCACAAGTGCTAAATGCTTCTTCTATGAGTTGACCAAAATCTGGACCGAAAGGCGGCCTAAGTTAAATAAAGTTGAGATGCTGGGAATACCCTGTTTTGTTGGAGAAAAGGGCATTAAATGACCTACTGTAATCAGAATCTTAAATTGGGTTTATTGGATTTATTTTTCAAGATTTATGAAACCACCAACTAGCAACACCTTCAGAAAGGGCCCAGAAGATATTTTCTTCATCACAATGATGAGAAATAAATTAATGAGCACAGTGCCACATTTATAAACAAAATTTCTTTTTCTTTTTCTTTTGTTTTTCTGTTCTCTATATTTGAAAACACAGAAGTTGAGCCTGCAGTAAAATGATTTATTTA